ATTTATTTACCTGAACAAATATTCTTATTATATCCAATTTGTTTAGTTTATAATAGCCTTTAAATCTTAAAATAAGAATATTTTAAATACCCAATTCTAAAAGAAAAAAAAATATACCTCAGTTATTCCAAAGAGAGATTTAAAAATTTCAGAACTCAGAAAGCTGAAGGTAGGATGGACAACATCAGTTTGATTCTTTGATTTTGGGTGGTCTGTTGACCAAAGAATATGATTTTATGTTTTAAGCAGCAATGTTCAAGCAATTGTTTTACTTGGATATGTTCTTAAGAACATTTCCACTGCTTTAAGGAATATGCATCTTCATTTTCAAGGACAATCTAAACTCATGTAATCTCAAATGTCCAAATCTGTTCATTTTCTAAGCTCTGAATATGTTTTTGAATGCTTGGAAAATGTAATAAGGGTCATTTAGGCTAATCTTGAGATCTGCTGCAAATTGGAAGGGGACAGCTGGAAGAAAAGGATTAAATCTTCATGACTTTTTTTCTCTTTGAGATGCATTTAAACAACTCTTCCATCTTGAAAATGTTCTACCAGTTTAGAACAACGTTTCTGATCAGCTTCTGTAAGTACACACTGACAATTTAGTGTAGATGGATGGCTACCTTTAACTACCCTCATGCTCAGCCGTACTCCTAGAAGAGAATATAGTGTCTAAACATGATAAATGTTGTGATTCCAACAGTGAAGCACCTAAATTGTTTCTTCCACTGTTGCTGTTGTTGACAGAGCTCAGTTAGTGAAGAAAAGCACTACTGAATGTGAAGATAGCAGGTTTACACGGCCCAGATACCAGTGTAGCCGGTGTTGTGTTCCCCAAGGCTTCTTTAGCATTAAGTGAAAAAAATGCATGAACTCAAAATACGCCATGAAAGTCACACTTTGAGTTAAAACATATAAAAACAACTTTCATATTAATGATTTGAGGTTACGTAGTTATTAGCATCTGCATTGACTATTTTAAAGCTTCTCTAGCTATGCCTGCGCAAGATGTGGCGAGACATTGAGACATGGCTGGGGACTTGTTCATGCAGTGTGGGTCCTTCTATCAGTCTTTTATGATTCTAACAGTAGGAAGACAAGATAGAAGTGCAGGTGTGTGTGCATCGTGCAAAGAAATAAGATGCTGCATAGGCAACCCTCAGTCACACTATGAGTTTTTCTTTCGGTACCCCCAAAAATTAAGTCCTCAACTTTCACTGGCTTTTTCGGGGTGTTTGGCTTCTTATTATGCAAGACATATCAGAAAATCTCAGCTGCTGTGTGGCGATTCCTAACTCTGTATTTTTGCTGTCATTTCACGTAAATGAAAGCTGTTGATATTTGAATGTACACTGATTAGGAATGTCTTAATTCAGTTTCAAAGCAGTCCAGCTACTGTCTTCAATTTCACGGAGCACAGCTCAGCCATATTTATTAGAAATCTGTACACAACAGCATCACATTTCTGTAGAAAAACTAGAAAATGGAACATGAAATGGCTCTTCATGTCCATAAAAGTGTTATGCTCAGATTAAATGCATCATCAGCCATTCAACCATATGATTGCTTGTTAGACATGCCATTTTATGCAAGTCTTGATACTTAAGAGAAATGTCATCTTAGTCCATGGCCATCATTGAGTGTAATTGGTATCTTTTAAGAAACTAACTACCTGATTGGCGGTCTCATTTGCGTAGTTAGATGTCTAAATGCCATCATGGTTCCTAGGGGGACTTTCTGGACCAAAACTGAATGCCAGTTTTCAAATTTCTTGGCCGTGTGTTTCTACAGAGGGCTTATAATTTAAGACTTTACCCTAATAATTCTAATATGATTCTGCATGGCTTTTCATTAAAAATCAAGTACACAGAAGGATGCCAAGTATCCATTTCTATAATATTTCTTTTGAAACTATTTTTTTTAATAAAGGTGGCAACATGGTCATTTATGCTGATAGCACTAAAATCCAATTTAACATCTACATCTTCTGGTAACAGGCCCTTGCATTGCAGATTCTAGTTCCCAGACAATAGACACCATCATATTCTCTCTAACGCATGAAATAGAATTGCTTTTGTTAGTCTGTTTTTCACTTGTTGCATCTTACAACAGCAGTAGCTATTGCCTAGCTGAAGACTGCTATTAGAAGCTTTGTATGCAGTCTAATGCCAGGATACGAAGGCATTACCACTCCTGATCCAATTCAGATAGGTGTATCATACATTTCCAATTGCAGCATGTTCTAAGATGAATCTGTACTTTTTTTAGTGTTGCTGATCAAAGTTCCAGTCCCACAGACCTTAACTAACTTGGAAGATCTTACTTACATTTTGGTCTTATTGAAGATTGCTTGTTAAGGTTCTCAGTCTTGCCCTAGATTATTAAAATCAGGATTCAATACCAAGATTTCACTTTCTTTCAGTATGAAATTAGCCATCCTTCAGTCTCTCTTTTAGTAGCTTTTACACGTGAGTAATGCTGTTTCATTCATATGTTTTTCATAGTATATTCATAGCTATGCCACTTGTGGGAGCCTTAGCAGGAATTTGAAATTCTCTCTATCCCAAATGGCTCTAAAGGCACCTAAAGGTTTAAAGTGTTCAGCCTCAGGAGGAATGGCCAGTTCCATTCAGTGACAAAAATGGGAGCTGAGCTCTTTTGAAAAGCTGCTCCCAAGGGTTGTTGGACAGAGCCCTTTATGCCTTGGTTTATGCATTAATTCTGCTTTCAGCTGCAAGGTTTTACAATACAAATTAAGATAAGTTTTATTTCAGAATTAAAATATGCTACAGGACTCTCTCATTTCAAAACCAAAGCTGTCTGGAGATCATGGGATTTTTGGATTATTTCAAAGGCATAATACTGCCAAATTTATAAAAGTCATATATTCCCAATGGATATGTTGTGACCATTTTTCCTTGATTCATTTTTTATTGTATTTTTTATGACGTGTGTTAACAAGCTTCAGTTTATGACCTTGAGATTTGCTTATTTTTCTTTTGGAGGTCTTCATAAATCACCAAAAGATTTTGTTTAAATCATTATAAATAAACCAACCAGAGAATAAGTCATTGAAATGGACAGAAGCAATTTCCTTTCTCTCTAGTTGTGTGTGATAGCTGACTGGCCCATAAGCCATACAAAGATAGTGAAACATTAGCATGGCAGAGAAAATGCAGCCATATCTGCGTTTGACAAAATAACAGTACATTCATAATGCTGTTGGCTTCTTAATTTCAAAAGGCAGATTTTAATATTACTGACTTCAGAGAAAGATAAGAAGGGCAGTGCATAAGACATTATCAGTCCAGTGTGGAAATAATGCATTCAAAATTAAAGACAGCAGTTTAATTAAGTGCATGAAAGGCTGGCTTTTATGATCATATTTCAAATACTCGAATGTCTTTTCATCCATTCTGCCGTATGACTTTACTTAATAATATATCAAGAACAAAAAATGTATTGGAGTCTTTCTGCAAATTCAATTAGTCCAATAAAAAGTGAAAAATAATTTCTTTTTCATTAAAAAGAACTCAACCCTAACCTTTCTGATGACAAAGTGCAAGATGAGGAGGGGGGGAAAGCTAAAGAACTATGAAAATTCTGCCTTTGTTATGCATTTATGTGTGCATGAAACAGATGAAGTGTCACCATTAGTAACATTTGTTATTGAAAGGACTAATTGCATTCTGCTACAGTTAGTAGTTTATCAGATCCAGACCACAGGGTATTTACTTCTCCCTTAGGATGCACTCACAGTGCAGCAATAATTCCATAGTTTATTGGGCTGCTCTAGGCAGGGTAATTATGCTAAAGCGTACCTCTTTCAGTGCTGAACGTAAAGCTACCATGACACATTGCACTAGTGCTTTACAGGTTAAGCGCAACCTCTTGAATCCTTTCTATCTGCTAAGGGTTTGTAGCTAAGGGAAGTGCAGAGATCATAGATCTTGTGTATTAAACCAAAAAAATGAGTAACACAAACAGCCCAGAAATGCAGCATTTCAAATGAGAAATTATTAAGTACGGTATACAACAGAGGAAGTAAAGTGCTTTTAGAAAACTTTGATATCAGTTAAACTGGGGTGGCAAAGGGATCTGTAATAAGATATTGAGCTTTAGACTGAAAGCAGCAGGTTACTGGCTCAACCATGGCACACATCCGTAGTGACTGAAAGTTATTACCACTTGTCAGCTCCTCTCTGACCTCCGTGAAATGAGGTGCGAGTCTCCGTCCAGCTCCCAGTGGGCAGACATCTCCGTTACAAACACTTCCAGCGCCACGGCTGGTTTGTCAGTCACAGCCGTGGCGCAAAGGCGTGTAGCAGTACCTCGGTGAATAAACAACATCCTCACCTCTGAAGCTGGTTCTTTCAGGTCAGGGCTGAGGCAGGCTGGCAAATAATTTGAGAAAGCTTGAAACTCCGCTGCTAACACAGGGCGGCTCTGGGTAAATAAAAGATCTCATTTTCCAGAGTTGCATGTTGACAGGTTTCACTTCTGCTGACATAACTAAATGTGGCCCAAGGTTTGCTGGGGAATGATCTGGTCCTGTTCTGTTTATGGGCACCCACCACACAAATTGATTCCTCTCTGCTGTCATTTTTCTTCTTACTCGTCTTGTTCTTGATTCTTTTAATACCATGCTGTCTATCTAGGGGATGTTTCCTACTATGTTTCTCTCAGTATGTGTTTATGAACAGATTCTTTTCCAGATATCTATTCATGTCCTAATCTCATTTTAACTTCAAAATATTCCTCTCCCAGAGGTTTCCTTAGAATAATTATCCATACTGTAGAGAATCAGACAGGCTGCATTCTGAAAATACAGCAATGAATTTACAGTAGCGGCTCATCAGTTTTTAAAGCAATAATTTTCATATAACAGAGGTAAGAACTATAAAAATTCTTTCCCTTTGCAAGCATGCAGGTACCAAATAAGAGCAAGTGCTTATGGAAGTATGATTTAAGAAACATGTGTTTGTTTTTTCATATAGGTAACCCTCCCGCTACAGGTACAGGAACTTTACACATCACCTTGGAGGATGTCAATGACAATGTCCCGTCCCTTTATCCAACACTGGCAAAAGTTTGTGACGATGCAAAAGATCTCAGGGTAGTGGTACTAGGAGCATCAGACAAAGACCTTCATCCCAACACAGATCCATTCAAATTTGAACTGAGTAAGCAATCTGGCCCAGAAAAATTGTGGAGAATCACCAAGCTTAATAGTAAGTCTATTACTTTTCTTTCTCATGCATTTAGTCCTCCCACCTCTACCTCCCAGTATACTCACCCTGAGGCTGCCCACTATGTGAATTCAGGAGCAGTTGTGCATGAAAGTCTTGCAGGATGGACCCATTGCTGCTGCTTTACACTGTGCTGGTTCTGCTTGGACCAGCAGCCTGGTGGGACATACTAATGTCTGTCTGCATTTTATCTGAAATCTGAACTTTTTTCCTCTTCTTATGTTGACCAAAGTTTTCTCTTTTAGCTTTGCATTAAAGAAAGGCTACTAATGACTTATAGTTTCGTAAAAATTACCATATTTCATGGCATTGAATTTGTTTGCATGAGATGCACAAGGCTTTGCTATAGGACAACATGAAGCTTTTGCATGGGCTTTAGCAATGTACTTGACAAACTTCCTGATTTTAAGTATTTGAACTGTTCACAAATAAAATACCCAATGCACTGGGACCACACACTATTGGGAAGAGGATCAAAGCACACGCTATGCAATTGCAGAAGGTTTGTATGGCAAATTGTGGGCACAAAGTACTATGTTTCGTTTTAATGTAGATTATTTCTCTTTGTTTTCTAGCATGTGTTATTTATCTCTGTCACTATCGAATCTTTTAGCAGTTCATTTCATATGCTTCTTAGAAAAAACTAAAGATGGATGTGATGTCTGTACCTGCCTGCAGGACAAAGTGGAGGAGTTATTTTCTTTGCTGTTCTCCAAACGTCAAACCACCACTCTGTTAAACCCCCTAAAGGAGTTAGCATACTCACCTGGGTACCAATAGCTGTTATGACCCACCGTTGCTCAGGTGGAGCAGATCTGTGGATTTGAAGGGGCATTACTTCCCTTCGCTGCCTTCTCAGTCAAACCAGGGAAGCAATTAAGCAGCTTTGCCTGTACTTTCTTGCAAGAAGGGTTTTTTCCTTTGGCAAATAGATATATTCTTCCCTCTTGTGTTGCTTTGGGGATGACATGCCTTAGCGTTTCATTAGTATATTAGTTTCCACAGACAAATTCTGTCAATAATTTGCAGACCAAATAATGTATTTAAACAAAAGGGGCTCTTAAAAGTCTTTTGGTGGGGTTTGGAATAAGTTTGCAATTAGCTCTCAGCCCATGAAAGAATTTCTGTACTGCCTCTTCTTACCTTCAATTCAGTTCTTTAATCTTTTCCTTCTAGTGTTCTCATTTTCTTCTTAATTTCCATGAGTAACTGTGGCATATCTGATATTGTTTGCAAATCCCTCTTGCCTTCCAAACAACCACTATTTGGTTAATTCTCGCCTTATCCTTTGCAGATACTCATGCCCAGGTCATCCTGCTTCAAAACCTGAAAAAGGCTAATTACAACATCCCAATCTCAGTGACAGATTCCGGAAAACCGCCTCTGACTAACAACACAGAACTGAAATTACAAGTGTGTTCCTGCAAGAAATCCAAAATGGACTGCAGTGCAACTGATGCCCTTCATATCAGCATGACCCTTATCCTTCTTTCACTCTTCAGTTTATTTTGTAAGTCTTTTCCTGAACTGTAAGTAATGAAGTATTATTTAGCTGCTCATTTGTATGCTGCATAAGAAAACCTACCAAAGGAGAAGTTAAATTCATACACTTATATCATAATGCAGTAAGTTTGAGGTCTTTTTCCTGAGGAAGCAGCTATAAGAAAGAGGGAGGGGAGGGTTTTTTCATAGTCAAAAAATAGCAACGAATGCCTGGTTGTCAAATTAAGAAATAGAAGCAATAATTTTAAGAAGAATCAAAGAGAATTAGAGCTAGCATATGATAAACTGAGAAGTACCAGCTGTAGTAGCAGATTGGTGAGACGCTTTCTTTCATCTCTCCCCACTTGAATTCAATTCAAAAACAGAAACAGGAGATAAAAGGTGTTCTTGTAACAATAGCTGTTCTGGGTCACCATGAAAATGAGTACTGTCTGCTTCAATCTATTCCTCTGTATAAAGTGTGCAAGCAACTGGAACAGGAAGAACTTATTCAAGATTCTGGGCTTAGAGCCACCCAATGTTGATAATCAAATTGCAAGTCTGGGTTAGAGGATAGATAAAAGAGAGAACTGATACGTCGGAAGCTTCTGCTGCTTCTGAGAAAGCTTTCTAAAAGAGACTTACAAAATTCCTAATTTGAATTGGAAAGAGTAAAAAAAAAATCCCAGAATGACTGCAGAGTAGGAATTCAAAGCCATGGAATCCCAACATCTAACCTAGATGTGTTCCTGGCTTGTCCTGTGACAGCTTCCAGCAAATTTTTTGATGCAGTATTATTTTGAGTTCCTTATCTGTTAAAAAGGAATAGCTGTATCCTATAACTATGATAGTAAATCTCTTAGTCAAGGATTACTATCATCATCTTACGTTAGTAAAATACATTGTATGGTGAATTAATACCTGAGCCATGGTGAAAGGCCTTGTATTCTTGATGAGATAAAATCTACCATGAGGCAGAGATAGAGGTCAAGGCAGAGAGAGTTTACACATCTGAGGCTTGGTGTATGCTTGATTACACATCTTGTCAGTTTTTTTCTTAAAGTATATTACTTTTATCCCAAAACGTTAGCGTGAAGGTCATTGTGAGAGAATTAGAACTAGCTAATGTTTGTGATGCTCTTTGAAGATGAAAAGGACTATATAAATGCTAAGTGCAAGTTCACGTTCTTTGTTCCAATCATCTGAAGTATTTCCATTGGCTTTGGTTCAGTTATTCTGAGTTTAGTCTGCTGGAACCAAATGCAGACTTCAGCTGTTAGAAGTAATATGTTAAAAATATTTGACAGTACATGACACTATCGCATCAGTGATATAAATATGCAGCCCATTGATTCAAATATATTCTTGTTACCACTTCATAAATGTTGCTGGTGCTATACTAGGCATGCCTTTCACCACTGGAATTACTTTCTTATCTGGCATGATTTGCACTTGAACATTTTTTACATCAATGCATCTTCTCAGAATACAATGAGGTAGAGAAAGCTTTTTGCTTTTGAAAGTAATCATGTTGCTTTTTTCTAGCCCCCAAAGAAGTCTGATCATTGTCCTTACATTGAGTTATAAAAAAGCAGTCCTAGGTGTTGGAAAGCTTTTCTTGAGTTGCCCTTCTTGACTACAGATCTTCTCCAGCTTAACTGTGGGCAGAGCACAGGCGCCTGGCGTCTGAATGGCGCATGGTGCTCTGAATGACAGAGGGATTCCCTCTCCGACTGTAAAAGAATAAGTAGCACTGAGGAGTCTTTATGCTGCGAAACAATACAGAGATGCCTAGCGCCGTTCTGCAACCTTACATTTGTTCAGAGTACTGTAACACAAGTATGGCTAGAGGTGTAATTTTAAACAAAGAGTAGAGTAAGATTACGCACATAATCTGCCAGCAGTGTGGTGTTCCGGTCTGTTGTCTGAGCAATAAAACCAAAACCAAGGGAAACAGTGGGTGAGTTGAAGGGAAGGAAAGATCTCCCGCTTGGGACAGAGGCTGTTTTATACATGGTTGTTGTGAGTGAGTGCATGAATTCCACAAATAGATTTCAGCATAGAGAGACCTAATCCTCAACACAGGACTACATTTTTTTGCTAAAATTTGCTACTATTCAGTTGTGTGGTTTGGGTTCACCCAGTCACCCAGCGCAAGGGTGGTATTCCTTGTCTGGAAAAGCTACCTAATCATGCTTGTGCAAAGCCAGCAAGCATAACAACGTTCATAACCATTTTCCTCAGGTGTAAATGACTATATGGAGACATAAAAGAATGAGACTGGGAGCCAGTTAAAATAATGTGGTTCTGTATTTGAACTTCTCTAAAATGTGCTGGTATCATTGCATTCCCAGTACATTTTCGTACATAGTTTTTTTTTATAACTGCGATTAGTTCCATTGCAATGTTTTGTGTAGTCCAAATATTTATCAGGGTAATCAAAGATCACGATGCCATAGAAACAAAGAGAACTTTAGTGCTTATTGAACAGATGAAATATCCCATTTCTAGTGGCAAGTTATGGGTTTAATTTCTGCAAAAGCCTTTACGTAGCTCACTTTGCTCCCAGTGTTTATGTTTTATGAGGCTCTTGTTCCTAGGAGGTAAATCCTTCAGTCAAACGAACTTCATTATTCATGCCAAAGTATTTCTTTTTGTATTTGACATCTGGTGCAAGGATAGATAGCCCTATGAAAGAGCTGTTCATGGTAAAAATGCCCTGCATGCATCTCCTCCCCATACAAAACATCTTGGTATTATCATTTAAATGGTGCAATTATTATCTATACTTAGAATATGTGCCTCCTTTGTAAATCATGGAAGAAGTCATATGTGGTAGATTTCTGAAGTATCTGAGCATAGAACTGAAGAGCCTGATTAAAACTGTAATGCATGCAAAAAGCAGCAGTTTCGCCTATTCTGTAGCTGCCCTACTGTGTTCAGTATATTGAGGGATAATGGGATACAGACTGCAGACTTGCCCAGAAGCCCTTGGAAAGGTAGATATACTTGGAACAAGAAAAATTTAGGAGTTCTTGTCAGCCAGAAATAGAAAATATAAGATGCTAAAGTATACGGGCAGATTGCTGGTTTTCCACAACAAAACAGTAAGGTGTTTGCTGGAATTAAAAGACAGTGAATACAGAGCTGATTGAAAAAAGGAGCATCTTTGCGTATTTGGTACTTAACCTAGCTTATTACCACTGGGAATCACTGAAGTCAAGCTGGAAAGCAGTATAGTGGACAGGTAGAGGGCTTTCCAAAGTTATAATAGTTAATGTTAACAAATACTGGAAAGAATATTAAATCTCATCTGTCATTAATGCAGACACCATGTTTAAGATGACACCTAGTGTAGTGGCACCTTGTCCTTTGTCACCTTTTACTAGCCAGTACTGGAGACAAGATAGGACCAACATTTTCAGATATAATTTAGAATTTAGTAATTCAGATTGAGGAAAAAGAACAGATCAAAAAAAGAGATCTGGGTTCCTAGCCAGGGAGGACTACTTGAGGAAGAGAAAAAGTGGGAGAAAGAGAAAGCATGTGATGCAGCATGTCTGGTGCTGGGTCTGAGATTGTCCATGTTGTCCCTTACTCCTGTATTGTCTCACTCACCTCATGTTTTCAACTGACACAGCTGAAATAGCTCTGTTGGGAATGAACGTAACCAAAGTGATGCACTCAACAACACTAAAACTATAAATAAGTTCCCTCTGGAAGTGCCCTTTATTGCAACCTACAAATTGGTGGCTGGTATTTCATTTAGGTATTGGTTGAACAATACCTAAAAGAGAGAACCAATACGTAAAAGGGATAATAGCTGTCCTTGAAAATTTTGCTTAAGTATCATCAATTTCACAACAAATAATTGTAAGTATAGGTTTAACAAACATCTATGAGTAATCTCTTCTCAAGACATATTGAGGTCAGTAAAGCCAGTTTTTGTCCACTGGCAATGGCATGGCAGAGTAAGTTTCCATAAGGAACTTGGTCAGAACAAGCCAAATCAAAGGCATACATCAAAGAACTTTTGGGACTTAAGTTACATACAGGTGACTGAGAAAACAAAACAAACTAAAAAAGTAAAAGATCAAGATAAAACCAAATTTGTGTATGTTGTCATAATGAACTCAGCAACAAAAATGCCGCAGGCCCTAGGGGAGACTGAGAAAGAACTGCTCTAGCCGGCAGAACTAGGCTTTATATCAGTTACAAATTACTTACATTATTATTACTTAAAGGAGTATTTGAATTCTGGACTTTTGATTTGACAATAATTATTTCACTTAATTGCATAATCATAGAATGATGATTGCATTTCATATTTCCTTTTATATTCTACCAACATAAAAGACCAAGTTAGATTCAAATATGTTGAATTAAGGGACTAAAATAAGAACCAAAGGCACAATAGTCATGTCCTGAACAAGCAGAGTTTAGAGCAATTCCATTAGTAGGTCAGTCACACTAGCAATAATATTTAAATTTCCGTGTTAGAAAAAGACTGGACTTTAAACACTTCATCTTGAACAAAAAAAAAAAATTGATATCTTAGTTGACTGTCAGCCATTGACAAGAAACTTTTTTTTGTTAATGTAGTGAGTGGACTACAAAGTTGTACGCTGACTTGAGCTTAAACAAGTAAAGTATTCCATTATTATGAACAGCAAGTAAGGTGAGAGACTGGGGGGGGAATACTGCTATGAAGAAATTAAATAAGCTGGAGGTCTCTACATTGAAATTAATTTGTTAAACTGAGGGTGAAAGGCCTCAGGTGTGTTGAAAAAACAGAGACTCGCACAGATGTCTGGGCTGCGATTGCGAAGAAGCCTTAGAGATACCCTTGAATTGAACTTCCTATTAATTTCCACTAACTTTTCCTGTTTTAATGCCTGCTGTCCCCCACCGTAATGTTTTTCTGATTTGAGGAATGCAGCTACAGGGTCAATAGACAAAATGTTGTCTTTTCTTTTTTTCCTTCAAAATTATGTGTTTGGTATTAAAACATTACAAAAATTCAAATTA